TTATCATTATTAGTACTATTATGATGATTATTAATCTTACCATGAGTCTTCTCGTTGCAGGCATATGGGGTTTGTACAAAGAGGTTAGATGGGTGGGGTGTCTATGGGGCGTAGATTTGTTGTTCCCGCAGATCCCCAGCCCGTGGAATGGCATTGTGGCCTTTGGCCGTCCATAGGGCAACTTGTCGTTCCTCATGGGACAGTCGTCTCGCGCGTCTTCGTCTATCAAATTACCGTACCCTAAACCCTAAACCGTACATGCGCCGCTCGACTTGTCCCCAGTGATTCGCACAGAGCCCAGCGGTTTCCTGCTGAAAGCATGTGCCCTGTGTGAGGGCTTTGGATCCCACCGGTGGCTTTTTCCAAAGCTTCTACATTGACGGGAGGTGCCGTGGATCAAAAGCCAGAAAGCTTTCATTCCTTTCATGCTGCTGCGAGAGAGGATCCCCTGGCACTGAAGTGGAGAAAGCCAGACTCCCAATGCAAATAGCTGAATTCAGAAGGATACTCAAATATGGGTTAGGTTGGGCCCCTATTATATTAAGGTCCTTATATATTNNTAGCATACCATTAGTGGGTGGGGGCAACCCAAAATATGGGCCTGTTTTCTGAGAACTGCCCACGTCTCATTCCCATGAGTGTGGTGGTCAAGGAAGTTCAATCCAGAGTTTCGGCAGATCGTGTCCAGCTCGCGAATGGTGGCAGCCTCGGGACTTTTAGGTTATTCTATGGGGATTGTATAGTGATCATATTCCCTGAGTCACTGCTAAGAACCAGTAAGTACAGGGAATCCTGAGGTATGGGGTCCTTATTAGAGCTGTTTGATGTCCGGTTTCTGACTTCAAAGAGTCCACCAGCATGGAGCTTGTGTTTTGACGGTTTCCTTTGATACGATAATGACCCACAAAGACCAGGTCACATGGCAGTCAGCAATGAGCATGACTTTGCACAGTTATTACAAGTGTTCTAGTTATCATTTTTGCTACGGGTAGTGAGCTTTCGTTGTTCACCATTATTTAGTTTATCCTTTCACTGCTATAGTAAATTCTCGATTATGATTACTAATACGCCTTAGTTTTGCCCCACCTACCATTCGCGATCAGCAGGGGATCATGCTGTAAACATGCGTGTCCCTTTTTATTCCGTTATAGGAATATCATCTAACTTAATTCATTTAACCACCAAAAAGACGCTCTTCAGGTGATCAACTTTATGCTGGCTGGCAAGTTGCTACAGGATCAGAAGCTTCTGGACATTGGCCGACATGGCCTTGAGCTCCCTGGCTGCTCGAATCATACCGGTCGCTTAGTAGGACCTTCTAGGGGTTGTAGGGGGATTACATGGGCGATGACGTCGTTTAAATAGAATGGCCTGCTTTTTAGGTTGCGAACGCAGTGCAAGTCAGCATATTGCCTTCCCTCATGCATCCGGACAGTTTTATTGGCGATGCTGGGAAATGTGGCGAATGACGAGTGTTTAGCTTCTGCAGTGCTGGGAACTCAGCTAGACTTTGCAAAAGCACCAAAAGTAGTCCTTCAAGCCCTGTGTGGTCGACTCTGCTAAGCAGAAGGCATACAAAATTTCTGCATCTGTAGACACCTACTATAGTCTAATATCCCTAATAACCCCTATAACATAGGATATAATATCCCTGATAACCCCTATAGCATAGGATCTAATATCCCCAATAACCCCTATATCTATAGTATAGTAGTCTCCATTTGATTTTCCATTATCCCTATAAGTTACCGTTGCATTTCATGCCTTATCCTCCAAGGTTCTGCTGCGGTAATCAGCTCTGATTGCCTCAGTCCAAAGGAAGGTGATATTGTGGACATTAGCAGTCCCTAAACCCCAAAACCCTAAACCCTAAGTCCCTAAACCCCAAAAACCCTAAACCCCAAAACCCTAAACCCCAAAACCCTAAACCCCAAAACCCTAAACCCTAAGTCCCTAAACCCTAAACCTCAATCCCAATACCTTGACCCCTAAACCCTCAACCCTAAAACCCCCCCAAAAGCCTCTGACACCTGAGGTATATAGAGAAGGTTCACTACATTCCGGCGAAGCAGAGCTACGCTTTCACGGTGCGAAACCATAAGCCGGAGGAGCGTCACAGGTGAGTAGCCTAAACCCTCAACCCGAAAAGCTTGATGGTTTTGGGTTTAGGAGGGTTCGGGTTTAGGGTTGAAGGAGGGGTTTAGGTTTTAGGAGGTTTCGGCTTTAAGGAGGGTTTAGGGTTTAGGGTTTAGGACCTACGTAATCCTATATAATTCTGTATAGTATCATTGAATTGAGGAACTTCCGGGTTGATAGGACTCTCGATGCGCAGAAGTATGAAAAACTAGGCCATGTACGTCAGGTGAAGCCTACATCCTTAAGCTCAAAATCCTAAAGCCAAGACCCTAAACCCTAAACCCTGAACCTTAAACTCTAAACTCTAAACCCTAAACTCTAAACCCTAAACCCTAAGCCCTAAGCCCTGAACTCGGATTCCTAAAGCCAAAGCCAGGACATGGTGGAGCAGGCATATGGCTATGCGTTCATCCTCGCAGCCCATGCTGCAGCGCGTGCGGCAGGGGCGGCTTTGCTGCTTTTTTTGGGGGGGGGTTAGGGTTTTAGGGTTTAGGGTTTAGGGTTTAGGGTTAAGGGGTTAGGATAATGGAGCATCAAATAGACTAGAAGATGTAAGAAATGGAAATTTGGGATATCTGGTGTCATATCAGGAAGCCAGCGTTATACAGGTGTAGGCTTTTGGGTTTGGGAGGTTTGGGGTTTAAGGTTTTGTTTTCTACCGGTCTACGCCTTGTAGGGCCATTGGCAATATTGGAAAACCAAGGGCCTATATTATCCAGCTTCTGCTCCCTGTCATCTTTCACCCAAAGCCCTACTGTACACCCTAAACCCTAAACCCTAGACCCTAAACCCGCCAACCCCTAAAGCTCTAAACCCCAAACCGTGATCAGCCTTGGGGATTAGGGAGCAGTACTTGGAGGTTCAGAGGGGCTTAGTAGCAAGCCACACGATAACCCGAATTGTCATTGGTACGACTCTACTTACACAGTCCGCCTGGCCCCCCAGTAAGGAGTAGGTAGGATGATGAGGCATCTACCTCTCTTGTGCAATCCTTCAGGACCTGAAACCAATGTTGTGCTAGATTCCCAAAGCTAAAGCCTAAACCCTAACCCTGATCCCTAAGCCCTGAACCTTAAACCCTAAACCCCAAACCCTTTACCCTACACCCTGAGCCCTAAACTCTAGTCCAAGGTGGCCAAGGACAACAAGGAGGTGGGCCGAGTGTTCGACCTGCTGGAGCGTAAGTTCTGGCTGCCTGACAAGTGCCTCAGTTGCTGTGGACTGTAGTCTGGAAATTCTTAGGGTTTGGTGTTTAGAGTCCAGGGTCCGGGGTTTTTATGGGTTTAGAGTTTAGGGTTTGTAGGTTTGTTGCTTTAAGTGCTTGCAAGCATACCGTTGAGGCTAGGGCGGCAGAAATTAAGCGCTCCTAAACCCCAAACCCTAAACCTTAGTGTGAAAAGATCTCAATCTACTGGGTTGCGGGCAGATAGCAAATGGGGTTTCTTCATTACGGTAACTTGTCTTAACCACACCCCACTAGGGGTTGGGGGCTGGGTCTCGACACGCTCCAAAACCCAAGCAAAGCTTCCGAAGTGCAATAGACGACCATTGGGTTTAGGGTTGAAACATGTCCAAGTCCCACTAAGAAGTCTTGTCATCAGGGCCGTTTTGGGGTTTCACGTTAGATCTGTGAGGGCAGATGCAAGAAGAGTGAGGCTTTGTTAGACGAATTGGGAAGAACAAAATTTCTGGGCCTCTCTCAGGCAACCCAGGCGCTGATGAGGGCCCCAAATCTAGTGATGACCAGGACTGAGCCCTCTAGAGTCTTTAGTAGAACCCACTCAAATCCGGCGACCATGGTTTGAGATGTTTCTGCCATAGTTATATGCTCACTTCAAGAGAAAATTATAGGTAATCATTCAACCCGCGCGGTAACTCCAAAACCCTTAATCCCAAGGGGCGCCTACCTGGATACCATCAGCGCAGAAGGCGTCACGCCAAGTGGCATTTTGATTTTGCAGAGTTCTGATGGTGTTCCCTAAACCCTAATCCTCCGAATACTGACCCAATATACGTACTGTTCTTTGCTACGGGGATTTCCAAAAAGGGACTCCCAACCTTTGGAAACCTTTTTATGAGTGATACTTGCCATATGGCAGAAGATTCCATAGTTTTGGGGAGTTCTTTATGAGTGCTCGTTGTAATGTGGAAGAAGGCGTTTGCTTTGGATCTGACCATGGTTGTTATTGAGAAGGTCATACTTGAACACAAGCTTGCGAGCATCTTGGGGTCTGTGAGAGAATGTTTCGGGTTTAGGGTTTAGGATTTAGGGTTTAGGGTGTAATTCGTCCTGCTACAGTATGCCCTTTCCCCAGCATGGGATTTCAGTTGCAACTCCTGCTATCTGCTTTTACTACAGAGTATGTGTTTCTTAGACCCCCTGAAGCCCCAGCCTTGCCTAAAAAACCAATCCTGTGGGAGGACCCCCCCACCCTGTAATAGTGGCTATAATAGGAATATAAGAGGACCCTATAGAATCCCTATTATCCCCTATAGCCACCTGTCAGCCCTAACCCTAAACCACAATATAATCCCTATTATCCCTTATACTTATACTCACTGTTACTGGGTCGGTTGCCCATGAAACCAATCGTGAAGCCTCGGCCGTGGCAGAGGCGTGGTCGACAACAGCTACCGGGGCCAGAACTCGAACATGCACATGTGCGAGGCGTTTTAGGGTTTGGTGTTTAGGGTTTAGGGAATCTTGCAGGGGCATCCTTCCGACATGAGGCAGTTTTCCGTAAATAGGCCCCACTGTAGACCCCCAAATATTGTTATGGCTTTTGGGAATCCCGCATGAATGCGAATTGGGAAGGTTGAGTGGTGTAGGTCTATAGTCCCCTTAAGTAGATAGAATATTGCTTTGGGGTATATTATAACAAGATCCCTATATATCCCATATTCTATCTACTTAAGGGACTCTACCTCTACTACTTGAAGACATGGACTCACTTTGATGCCGCAAAGGGTTTGCAGCCCCCAGGGGCAATGAAAGACAGAGCTTTGGGCTCTGGGCTGTAAGTTTCGTGTGCGAAGCAAGAGGTGCAAAACCAGCAGCTAAATCCTAAACACTATATGAGCTATAGTCTAAACTCCTTGAAGAGGGTCATATAGGGGTTTATATAAGGGGGTACTACGGGGCTTATTAAGGGGGATACTAGGAGTTTAGACTATAGCTCATATAACCCCAATATACTATAGTAGTTTCCATTTTCTTTTCCATTATCCCAATATAGTCGTTTCTATGTGATCTGATCTGCAAAATCTGTCAGATACTAAGCTTTCACCCTAAACCCTAAACCCTAAACCCCTTTCCCGCCAGGCTACGCTTTGATTCTTTTTGCTGGGCTTAGCTTCCGAGGATAATTTGGCGTCATTGGGGCAGGAGATCAATTCTCTGAAAGGGATGGTAGGCTTTTCTGCATTCTGTACAACCCCTTTACCACCCCTAAACCCTAAATACTGAAAAACAAATTAAACCCTAAACCCTAAACCCTAAACCATCAAAAGTCCGAGGGGTAAAAAAACACCGCCCTGAACCGCGTGTTGGTTCTTGACAGGCCCTCATTGCTGCATACGAGGCCACCAAGGAGACGCGCGGCTTGCCACATCTTTAGCAAAAGCTGGGTTGCTGTTAAGGAACTTAAATTTTAAGGGTTTAAGGGTTTAAGGGTTTAGGGTTTAGGGAAATTAGGTTACTATCATAGACCATTATTTACCGTATACCCATATTATGGTAAGTTAGTTTAAGTTCTGTAGCAGCAACCCAGAAAAGGTCAGCAGCATAGAGAAGGAACCTGCATCAACCCATGTTCGTGGTGGAGTCGTAGAGGATGGCCTGCGTGCATAGAACACGAAGTGAGCTATGGACTATATAGGGTTTGTTAAGGGGGATGCTAGGAGTTTAGACTATAGTTTAAGTGATTCCCAAGCAAAATAGAAGCTACTCATTCCACCTCTATGTGTTAGTTTACATAAATAGGGGGACCCCAATATAGACCGCAAGATTATGTAATCCCTATCGGAAGGACCCCCCAAATAGTACTCCGAATATTGGGAAACGCCCCAGGTCTTTGATTTAGAAGTAAACGCTCAACCCTCAACCTCTTGATTCAGAATTAGACCTTGCCAGATGCTCTGTACGCAGCCAGAAACGGCATTGCTCAGCTGAGGCTACTTAGATCGAGCAGAGGTTCTTGCGGAGACCTTTGCGGCGCATTTTGGGCAGCATGTATCCAGGGAGTTCCCCCTGAAGATAGGATAGACCCTCCAAGAGCCCTTCCTGTTTCTTTGCTAAGGTTCTTCTTTGGGTTCTGTCCTATTTGGGGGCCAATGAACTTTCTGACCTTGAACCCCGAACCCTGAACCCTAAACCCTAAATCCAAAACCCTGAACTCTAAACTATAAGCCCTGCACCTGCACAGGGCTGATCTGGTAGCTTTAGGGATCGAAGTGGGCATCCTTGCTATGAGGAAGATAATGACATGATCTCCCCAAGCCTGGAATGAGGCCACTGCTTTTTCTGGGGTCCTTATTTTCGGGATCCCTATGCAGTCCCTGTATCATGCCGTGTAGGCCCGACACATTCCTCATGTTGGGGCTTCCAAAGCCCTCCGATTGGAAGACGTCTGGAGCCATAAAAGTCGATTCTTCCTCTAAGTCAGAGACCCTAAACCCCAAACGCTAAACCTCAAACCCCAAACCCTCAACCCTAAACCCCAAACCCCAAACCATAAACCCAAACCCTAAACCCTAGCGGACAACGGACGGCTCAGGATTTCAGGGTTTACCACTACTATTGCCGGATTCACCACAAAATTGATGATTCTTGCCAAAAGAGATCTAGAAAAGCTGGGTCCCAACAGCAGCGTCTACAACATCTAAACCCCCGCCCCCTCATATACCCCCCCCCCCCCCTATAAACGCTATGTCCTCAAATAAGCAATGGTTCAGG